ATGCAAAAATCTTGTTAATCTGGTCACGCAACCAACTTTGGTTAAATAATTTATTAAAACATTCCATTTCCGATTCTAATTTTTAAAGCCGAAATTTAATATGAATTTTCCATTTAAATTTAATTTTTAACATACAACTATTATATGTAATAGGATGATAGTAAAATAATTCTAAAGATTTCTTAACACAATTATTTCTTATGCCTATTGTTAGTTTCAAATATCATTCATAATAAGTATTATAACTAACGCGATTGAATAAAAGCCTAGTTTACATCTAGGTTGAATGCTTCGAAAGATACCATACCCTACAATATTATAAAATTTATTTTTTATATTGCGTATTTAATGATAATAAATTTAATTATGGTAATGTTAAATTTTATTTTGTTTCTCTGTCTATTCTCAATATTTATTAGTTTTGTAAGCCTTCATTATATATTATACGCGGTGTTAAATTTTTTTATATAGTTTTTATTCTGATTATAATTGTATATTTTTTGTAATTAATTTGAATAAAAAAATGTGCAATAACTATTTCAAAACATTATAACGTAATTTTATTTAAAAGTCGCTACTTTTTTATAAAAAAATAAATACTAATTTATAGTCATTGAGTATTTCTATTAAAATTATTCTATTTTCGTTTCTATATTCAAAATTTGATACTTTTGTTGAAAATAAGTACTAATTTATATTCATTAAGTATTTCTATTAAAGTTATATTTTCAATTCTAAATTAATGTCGTTCAATAAAACCATTGAATACTTCTATTGAAAGTCGTCACTTTCGTAGATAGGTAATTATTTTTAATCGTCAAATATTTCTGGTGAATCACAATTTAATTCAAAACAATGATACTTTTGCAACTTCATAAAATAATATAATACTATTTTTTATAATATTATACTATTTTTTAATTAATGAGTATTTTTCTTTTTGATATAAATTAGCCTATACTAAATTCATAAATGAATACTTTCGTCACAAAACGATACTATTTTATAATTAATGAGTATTTTTCTTTTTGATATAAATTAGCCGACACTATTGTTATAAATGAATACTTTCGTCACAAAACGATACCATTTCATAATTGTTGAGTATTTTTCTTTTTGATATAAATTAGCCGATACTAAATTCATAAATGAATACTGTCGTCACAAAACAATACTATTTTTTAATTATTGAGTATTATTCTTTTTTATATAAATTAGCCGACACTATTATTATAAATGAATACTTTCGTCAGAAAACGATACTATTTTTTAATTAATGAGCATTTTTCTTTTTGATATAAATCGAATTTGGAAGTTTCGAAAAATTATTGTTTTAAACTTCTCAAAATATTGAAAATGATGCTGATTTAACAGCATCAAATACAGGCAATAGAACTTATCATAATATTATAATTCAATCTGTAGAGGGTTTGAGATCTTTCTTGTACTTATATTTGATGACTGAGTAGTTCCGATACTTTTGCCACGATTCTTTTTTGGTATCGATATTTTGTTTCGATTCTATTTTAAATACTCGGTATCGATACTTCTAACACTAGTTGCAATTAAGAATCTTGAGAAAAGTCTGATTGGGTGCCAAGTTGCTTCATCTTCTTGCTCCAATGTTACTCCCAATAACAGATGTGGATGTGTCAGTAATTAGGCAAATGTTTGCTAAAACGGCTGTATATTTTAAAATCAAGAAAATTGACTTCGAGTTTTCCCAAGAAACATTTATCAACTTTAACTAATAAAGAATATTCTTAAAGTTCTTCAAATACCATTTTCAGATGTAGATTATGGTCAACAATATCTTTACACTTAATCAGGATCACATCAATATAGGTAATAAAACAAAACTAAAATCTTTGAAAATAAAATTTATGTACTTTTGGAAGGTTTGAGTTGCATTTTTCAGACTAAACAGCATGCATGTGTATTCAAATAATCGCCAGGTAGTGATTTTTGCTGTTTTCTGTATATCATCTTTATGCATATGTACCTGGTGATAAGCCTTCGCCAAATCTATGGTAAAGAAAATAGTTTTATCATGCAGAGTTGGAAAATGAATGCATGAATAAAAGATGAGGAATATCTATCAGGGGTTGTGTACACATTAAGTTTCCTGTAGTCTCCACACATTCTGTATGTACCATTTTTCTTGGGTACCATATACAATTGCCCATATGGGCAATGCAAACTTCTTAGCTGGAAGGATTGAAATGATTGATCCAAAATCTATTGAAAATTTATTTATTTATTATAAAACTTGTGTGTTAGTAAATTATTTATTATAACTATGTGAGGTCTTATGTGCAGTGGGGGACGTTCAGTCCAGAGCATAAGAATAATATCTTGGCTTATGCCTCTTTTGCCAAAATCTCTTATTTTATTTATTTTATTTCTCGTAGGTGCTGGGATGGTTTTCTGTCATCCGCCATAAGCCAGAGGGTATTAGCATCTAAGGCTCGAAAAACTGTTCTGTTTAATATCATCTGATCTGATTTTGGAGATCTGGAGCTCAGACTCCAAGATTAAAAACCATATATCAAGTGTATCCTATGTGAATGGCGTTAAACGATCCTTGTTTAAATAGAATATATTTATGGCTTGTTCGTTTCTGACCTCATTGCAATCGTTATTGGGAGCAAGGGTTCCAGTATTGAAGCTATTGGTTAAAATAACAATCAATTAGTGATCATGGGAGGACATACTTGGCATTGTTACCTTGTTTTCGTTTTTTTTTTTAATTTTTTTAATTTCTTAATAACAATCACAACATTTATTACATTCTATGAGTTATTTTAATTTACATTAATTATATATAATTATAAATACAATAGGCCATAAGATTTTAAGTGTTCTTAATTCTGGTGTAAAGAACAGCGGACCAATGAGTGAATAGAAATAGGGTAATTTTCTAATTTGTAATGATGATTGGTGGATCATGTTTTTATAAAGTCTTTAATATGTAGCATATTGAGATCATCATGTAGAGATTTTTGCTCACGTACCAGGATGCACCTGTCATCAATCTGAGTAGTTTTGGGGCTAGACCAGCCCCAAAGGTTGTATTCCATATGACCAGATAAAAATTATTTTCATTTTAAAGTCAAGATTTTGTTTTTATGTGCTAATTTTGAATTATGTCCTTTAAGCCTATAAAGTTCTCTAACTCTGGATTTGATTAATTTGATTTTTGTTGTGATGTGGTGTTAGTTTGCGGTCTAGATGCATACCTAGGTATACACAATCAGTATTTGGTTTCTTCATTGACATCAATACAACCAATCATGGATAGTTTAGCTAAAACATCAGGGTTTTCGTGACTCTCAAATAATAAGCAGTTTTACTTTCTCCGTACCACTCATTATCTGCATAATATTAATTTTATCTTAAACCACTTGTTCACACTAAAATTTCAACCTGTTAAAGTTTTGTTTGACCTTTACTTGTAAAACAGTTTAACCCTTTCAGCACAAAATATCTCATCATCAAAAAATTGTCTTCGAATATTTGACAACACAGATGTCAAATAGTTTGTTAATAAGCGGCATATCACTGTAAGAACAGTTATAATATCCATCTTTTTTATACAGAATTTTATATGCAAACCAATTTTCATAGTGTAATTACATAAAAAACGATGGGTTAATATATGTCGAGTCATATTAAGAGATTCTACTGTATTAGTAGTGTAATCGAATATATGTATATAATATATATATATATATATATATATATATATATATATAACATATATACATTTTGAAATTTAAGCAAACAATATTGAAAAATGTAAAAAATATATAGTTACAAAATAATTTTAAATTAAACGCATTCAAACATATTAGCGATATTTATTTGATGATTTTGATGCCCAGTAGAAAATAGATTACAGACCAAAATACCAAAATAATGTCAGAAATGCAACTAATATAAATATTTAAATTATTATATATATATATATATATATATATATATATATATATGATTTAGTAGTTAATTTTGATGTTGAAATATATGAGTGAGTTCACTTTTGCCTCGGGATATGTAGAGATAACATAGCCTCTGGCCTGTGCAAAAATACCTAAAAATTTTTTTCCACAGTTTTGCAAAACAAAACTCTCATTATTTTTCTTACTAAAAAAATTCATGATTATCGACTGGTTAGTTGTATCAATGTTAGTGCAAAATTCTGTGATGTGTACACATTTTTAGATATAAAATACTATGTTCAATATCCACTGATGATGACATTGAATTGAATGTCGAAACGTTTGGAAGTAAAGATTATTTTATAAATCTTTGCCTTTTCTTTGTTTGATGTATCGCCCTTAAGAACTCACTCATATATATATATATATATATATATATATACACCTAAGTCTGTTTTTACACGGAGATTGGTTCCAGAAGAAGCCGTGTAAAAAAAAAACGTGTAAAAAAAGACATTGGTCTTATACAAAAATGGGTGATTTGTTCCTAATCTCTAAAACCTATTAAAATTGGTGAAAAACAGGAATTTTTAAGAACAAGAATTAAATTAGTGCTATTCACATTTGCTTTGACCAGTAAAAATTGTTTGTACGCGCTAAAGGGGAATTCACTTAAATCTTTAAGCTAGTGTTCGCAAACTATCGATACTATCGATGGTTTCAGACTTTTTTCTTTCATAAATACTTTTTTGTGATATGAACATACTTTGCAAAAATTTAATTTGACAAAAAAAATTTAAGTACATAAAATTTCAAATCGTGCTAAATGGAATAAATTCGAGTAAAAAAATTAAAAATATTCAATTTTCAAACCGTGTTATATCAAAACCGTGTACAAAAAGACCGTGTAAAAACAGACTTAGGTGTATATATATATATATATATATATATATATATATATATATATATATATATATATATGGACAATTTGCTAAAAATGCACAGCATGAGACAACACAAATTTTGTGAAATTTACCAAACACAAATAATTATAATCAATACCTCAATTACTATAGAGTCGCCAAGTTCTTTTCCGGCAAATATAATTTTTAATTCTTCTGGTTGCAATCCTAATTGGGGGGCTACAAACTCTTTAACATTTTTTATATCCCATTTCGGATCCAAATCCACCGAAATTGTATTTCCCGTATTGGTTTTCACATAAATACTGAGGGAATTAGCAATAGTCTTTCTACCAAAAGAGAGTAGTTGTAGCATATTGTGTAGAAATCTTTTCAGAAAATTTATAAAAAAACTCATCCTACAAAGAATTTTGAAGGTTATGTTATGATGTATAAACTTTCAGTTTTGTCAAGTATCATTGCTATGCGAAGCTATAAGCGAAACTCGGGGTGACCAACAGCAAACGCATGAAGCACATTGAGCACGTGTATATGATGTGTATGTATATGCTGGTTTTGAAAATTAAAAAAAATATTTTTTTTTTATAACAGCAGTGTTGTTGTAACTTATTATTATTGTTTTCAGTTTACAGTTTTACACTAAGTTACTTCCTTATAAGTTAGTTTTAATTAGTTCTATTTTTTATTTTTTCTCTAAACTTTTTTGGCATGGCTGCTGTCAAAATAAGTGTCGCAGCTGGTCGCAGCTGTCGTAACGTAACCTCAAATTCTCTTTTTGACATTGCTGTCAAAGTTTTAGCACAAGACAAAAAATGAATAATATATTCCAGGGGCAATAAATTTAGGGTTACTAAAATTAGCTTGATTAGGTATAATTATGCAGGAAGCCAAATACTGCTACATTTAAAACCTTTCATATTAATTATATCAACCCTAAGTATGATGTACAATAGAATACCATGATGATTTTTTTTAACGTTTTTTTTATCAGTCCCATACTATTATGCAATATAATTGTTGGAAACTTTTTAAATGTTGTTGACGACAAATGATTGAATGTCAAAATACAATGTTTGTCAGAATAGGTGCATTATTTGAAGTCAGTACTGTTATAATCTTTAGCAGTAGTTGTTAAGAATTCGTAAAATATGATCGTTAACATGTCCCAATAGTGTAAAACGAACTATTTTTTGTAATGGTCGTCTGTTACGCCAGACTAGAGTGTCGCCGGACTATGCATGTCGTTCACAGTTCAAGTACTAAATGCATTAATAACCTAAGATATTTTTAATTTTGATGTAATTTATTTGTCTAGACTGTCTATATCCGCGTTGATGATTTTATTTAAGGGTCTGCAAAATGCCTTCAGATAATTTCAAGGAATCATCCTTCTCAGATATATTAAGTCCAAGAAATCATCCCTTGTAGATGTACAAATTAATGTAACCCGCCTCTTAAAAGCGGGGCTAATATTGTTAATCTTAATTTTTAATAATTTTTATTTAGTATAAGTTCAGAGCTCAGCATAGACACACTAACTATCTGATGCCATTATATTCACCATATTTATATAATAAATATATTAATATCAAACGTCGCCTTTTACTTAAATAATCACCGATCACATCAGTAGTTCAATTATAGAACAAATTTTTAAAAGTGTAGTGGTTAGGAGAAGTAGAACGACAAACACCCAGTTAGACGTCAAAGTAAATTTTAAGCTTCGCGCCTTAACATTTGGTCCAAACGAACCTGATATTTATCATTTGGACTTTTATAACTTTCCAAAGGACACAAATAATTAATGTTAATAATTTTAAGTGATCTTTTGGACGTTCAAGTAAATTAATCAACCAGCAACATACAGTCCACTAAAATAATAATTAGTGATTTAATAATTCAAGTGATTAGTTTATAAAATCACAAATAAAATTAATACATTCAAGTGAGTTATTATTAAATTAAGATCAAATTAATAGAATGAGAATGATTAAATCTAATAATACGACAAATAAATGAATAAAATTCAGTGATTAAATTTAATAAAATCACAAATCAAATTACTAAATTCTAAAGAATAATAGTATTCCAATTATAAAATTTAGTTAATAATAAATCAAATTATTAGGTAAAATAAAAAAAGTTAAACAACAAGTGTTAACACCGTGAGGACCAGTGTACCCATACTTGTTTATCTATGGTGAGGACAAGCAAAACCGAACGGAACAGCTGAGATTCTACGCAGCCAACAACGAAGGTACAGCGGGACAGCAAAAAAGGTCAGTTCAAGTACATCCCTCAATTATTCCTTTATTGCTTAAATACATCCTTCTTTATATAAGTTGTTTTGATCTGTGCAAAAAATGGACCAATATATGTTCGACCCCATTAACTTTAGAAGGCCAATTTACGCATGCCCGCGGTTCACCCCCTGAGACCCCTCATGCGGGGCTTTTCAAAATTTAACCCTTATCTTTAGGTCAATGCACGAGAAATCAGAATTCATTTTATATGTATGGTTTCATGAGACAAGTATATTATTTTGATCGTTAAAATTTCAAAATCATAAGTGCCTAAGTGACCTTTAAATCGACCCGCCCTAATATATATATATATATATATATATATATATTAATTTGGAAATATGAACAAACAACACTCTTTTTTGCACTAATTTATTAAATAATAATTTTCACAAATTTTGACTAGGTTTGTATGTATGTGAGTATACTCGTATGTAGGTGTTTTATATATATATAGGTGTGTGTCTGTGTGATGTGTATATTTGTATGTGTTTTTTTTTTTTTTTTTTTTTTTTTTTTTTTTTTTTTATAGAGGTGCGAAAAAAAATCTTCATAAGACACCGCCATCGTTGATACTCCGCTGTCCATCCTACAGCAGACAAAGATGGACGGCCGTGTGGAGATTTTTACCCACTAAAAAAAAACACTCCTCTCCCCTCTCCCCGCAGATGGTACGGGGAGGACTGGATTGGAACCGCGTTAGCATTACATCAATCCAGTCCGTGCTGCGCCTTGCGACGCCTGTTTACGACTACTGGTCCCTTTCTCCGGTTTTAGCCTTCAAAAGATGCTGTGCATAAGCTGCTACAGCTGACCAGTTTTCTTCTTGTTTCATCATGTAGGTCACAAGACTTGAGGGGGTGAGCCTGGTGCCTATAATGTGCTCGGCGTTGTTTCGATAATCCTTCCACCTAGGACATTCAAAGAACGTGTGCTCAGCGTCGTCTATTTTATATGGACAGTATTTGCACATTGGCGTGCTATGCAATCCCATCTTAAAAAGATAGGCATTGAACTGTCCATGTCCTGTCAGTAGCTGGGTTAGAAAGAAATCTGTGTCCCCGTATTGTCGAGAGAGCCAGACGCTAATGTCCGGAATCAGACGCGCCGTCCATCTGCCCGTCTCTCCTGACGTCCACCGATTTTGCCACTCTTGTATCGTTTCATTTTTAATTCTCGACCTTGTTTCTCTGGAATCGTCACCACCTAATTTAGCGTCGTAGAGTTTCACTCTCTCGAAAGCTAGCAAGTCAATCGGTGTGGCTCCTGCTATTACCAGCACGGCTGCTTCTGAGACTGTGCGATAGGCACAGGTAACTCTCAGAGCTCCTCTTCTTTGCACTGCCGCTATTTTGCGCCGATAAGTCTTTTGCTTGAGGATATCCGCCCATATCTCTGTTCCGTAAAGCAGTACAGAATGGACTGCCTCAAGCAGGACTCGTCGTTTTCGGGTTTGTGGTCCCATGCAGTTAGCCATAATCCTTGACAAGTTGGATACCGTCTTGCTAGCTTTTATGCATGCACTATCGAGATGCTCACGGAAGGATAGCTTCTCATCTATCATTACTCCCAGGTAGCGCAAGGCCCTTGTCGACGTCAAAGTTGTCTCTCCTATGTCTACGGTAAATGGTTTTGGAAACCATTTTTGTCGGGTCAAGACAACCATCTCCGTTTTTTGTTTGGCGAGTTTTAGGTGGTGTTTCTCAAGCCAGGTCTCTATGGTGTCGACGGTCTCTCGAACGAGTAGTTCAGCTTCCTCAATGTTGTCCACTACGATTGTGGCTGCGACGTCGTCCGCAAAGCCCGTGAGTTCCACCTGCTTCGGCAAGGGAATCTCCAGAAGCTCGTCGTAGACAGCGTTCCACAAATCGGCTCCTAAAATTGAGCCTTGAGGTACCCCAGCTGTAACCTCGTGTTCTTGATGACCTTCCGTCGTTTCCACTATCAACTTTCTCCCATCTAGGTAGTCGTCTATTAGTCCTAGATTTTCTGGCTTTACGTCAAAATTATGCTCTAGTGCGTGTAAAATATCCTCCCAATTCGCACTGTTAAACGCGTTTTTAACGTCGAATGTGAGAAGGAGACACACTTTACGAGCTTTAAGACTACCACGCCATGCTTCTCTTGCTGTTTCCGTTACCTTCCGAATCGCGCCGATCGTCGATCGTCCTTTTTGAAATCCGTGTTGGTTCTTAGCAAAACCTCCGGCGCATTCAATGTCGTTGCGCAGTCTGCATTGAATAAGTTTCTCAAGCAGTTTGCCGGCGATGTCTAACATGCAGAGTGGTCGAAACGACGATGGCGTTACAGGGGTTCCCTTACCTTTGTCTATTAGGACCAATCTTTGCCGCTTCCAGACCGTAGGAAAGGTGCCGGTCGCTAGACAGGCATTGTAGACGTTCAGAAGAATATACGGAAATTCCAAGGCTACAAACTTGATCACTGAGGCTGGGATGCCATCAGGGCCTGGTGCTTTGCCAGTTTTTATGGTTTTTGCCGCATCTTGGAGTTCCTTGACAGTGAAGGGCGTAGTTTCACTGTTTTCCACGTATTGTCTCCTTTTCCGTGGCGGATGTTTAGGGAATAGTTCCGCTACGATAGAATTCATCAGAGCAGGAGATTTCGGTGCTTCTGGTAAAGCTCTACCAAGTCGTTTTGTAACGATTTGATAGGCTTTGCCCCAGAGATCTTTGTCAAGGTCATTGCAGATTTCCTTCCACAATCCGGCTTTAGCTGATTTTATGGCTTTATTTAGGCTCTTTTTTGCCTGTTTGTACTCGTTTGTATACAAATCTTGGTAGGGGGAGCGTTTTGCAGCTCTTGTGGCGCGGCGACGTAATGCGTGGCATCTTTTCCGTAGTTCTGCTATCTCTGATGACCACCAATATGCTGGACAGTGCACACCCTGATTTTTTGGTCGTGGCATAGAGGCGTTACACGAGGTAACAATAGCGTTCATAGTTTTAAATACCGTTTCTTCCGTTTCTCTGCGGGTACTTAGTTTTGGATCAGCTTGAAGAGTAGATGCGTTTTGCTCGAGGGCTGCTCGTAACGCTTCCTGGTCGAGCTTCTTGGCATTCCACCTTCGTTTGCAAGAGTTGCTTGGTCGAGTCGGACCGGATCCAATACTAAATGTCACATGTTGGTGATCACTGCCACTA